AAATTGAGTTTTCGTGCCTCTTAAGTCTACCACTCTATCCACTAAACTGTATTGCCAACATTAAAGAATGGAGAATTTTGAATTTTAATGGTGAATAAAGTATATTTAACAATAAATGGCCTATAAGTTCAATAGGGCAATGATACTCTATCAATGATGACTTTTCCCACCTCAGACCTCACACAGCACTTTGTTTTACACTTCTTTGACATACTTAGAATACTATATGTTGTATAATCTGTATTTATGTCTTATTCCCTGTTTAGACTGTGAGCTCCATGAGAAGCCTTGATTATCTTAGGAAGAATGTAAAATATAAAGCTGAAAAGCAGCTTTGTGAACTAGGATCACATCCTTAGTTTAGATTTGTGATCTCATAAAATAGTGACAGTAATAATAACTAGCATTTATATAATGCTGTAGAATTTGCAAAGCATATGTTACCTTATTTGATCCTCATAACAGCTCTGTGAGGTAGATGCTTTTATTTACAAATGAGAGAATTGAGACAGATTTAAGTGATTTGTCCAGGGTCACAGTTAAGTTAAGTATCAGGTGAGATTTGAGCTCTGGTCTTGCTGATACCAAATCCAACACTATCCATTGCATAAAAAACAATTTTTATTCATTGACTTATATTCCTAGAGTCACTTTGGGCACTAAAGAGTTAGATGACTTGCTTGAGGTCACATTGAGACTAGTTGTTATCCACTGTACCACTGGTTACATTTCCTTTGGAAATGATGATGTTCTGCAAATTGTTTTTATATCCATTTCCTTTTTTTTTTTTTTGCATCAATAGTTTGTTTAATCCTCGTTCTTAACAGACAGTGGTCTGGCTTTATAAAGATGGCATTATCTGTTAACATTGAAAAGAAAGAGAAATTGATCATATTTGTTGTTTGCTATGTTCTCTGCTGACTTTTTCCCTCAAAGAAAATGTTAACGATTTATAGATATGAGGTATATCTCTAGACTACAACCCTTCATCCTCTCTTATGCCTAAACCATGTATACCACGATACTTCTTTGGAATCTTCGCCTTTGCCTGTCTTTCTGTTGAAGTCACCAAGTATTAAATCATGTTAATTTAATTTGGGTGATTATTCAGAGTTCTTCAGAAGAATTTTTCTACCTCTTCATCTTCTGAAACAGGTGTTGGCACATAAGCAACAACTGTTTTTTGTTGTTGTTTTTTGCTTTTTGGTGAGGCAGTCAGGGTTAAGTGACTTGCCCAGAGTCATACAGCATAAGTGTCAAATGTCTGAGGCCAGATTTAAACTCAGTTCCTCCTGATTCCAAGGCCCGAGCTCTATCCACTGCGCCCCCTAGCTGCCCCAAGCAACAACTATGTTGAGGAATACAAGCAAGATAAGATGGCCAGGTATCCCACAAAATGATGTTTCTTGTTGTTTCAGGGTGCACAGTAAAACCAATTTCACCAACTCTTTTATTTGTCCCTCTAAGGTGAAGCTGTGAATAATTCTTCCATTCAACTGCGGTTTCCTTTTTTTGTTTGTTTTCTTTTTTTGTAAGGCAGTTGGAGTTAAGTGGACCTTGCCTCGGTCACAACAGCTAGTAAGTGTCAAGTGTCTGTGACCGGATTTGAACTCAGGTCCTCCTGAGTCCACGGCCAGTGCTGTAATCACTGCACTACGTAGCTGCCCCCTTTTTAAAAAATTTTTTAAATTTAATTTGATTTTTTTTTATTTTTAGGCAGTTGGGGTTAAGTGACTTGCCCAGGGTCACATAGCTAGTAAGTATCAAGTGTCTGATCTGAGGCTGGATTTGACAGTTTCCTTTTTCTTCCAGTTTCATTTACTGCGAGAATGTATGTGCACTCTGGCCTTGGAGTCAGGAGGACCTGAGTTCAAATCCAGCCTCAGACACTTGACACTTATTAGCTGTTGTGACCTGGGCAAGTCACTTAACCCCAATTGCCTCACCAAAAAGCAAAAAAAAAAAAGTATGTCCATTCATTGGTCATAGGATAAGGATCTCACATTTAAAGTACTGGTAGCGAGTATTTATAGATGCTTTTAAAACTCTATCATTATTGGCACCTTGTACACAGCTTCCCCTGCCTGCGTCGTCCCCCCACCCCCATTCTGCTGTCATTGCAGGAGTGGAAAAGGCATGCCCAGGACAGAGCACCTTGCATGTGCTTCTATGGCCAGACTACTGGAAAGCTTCTCTGTACTTGACAAGGCTGGTTCTTGGAAAGCTAACGTAGTCTGTTACTGGTGTCATCTTTGAGCTCTTTTTCCAACATGGTAAAACTTTCCAAAGGTTACCTTCTGCAGGCATATCATTCAGCCAGGGTAACTTCCATTCCATGCTGAGGCAAAATTATGACTCTCTAGGAGTCCCCATTAACCTAAGAAAAATCGGGGACTCTTGGAATAGAAAAGAGAACTCTTAAATGTGAAGACTTTTGGGTCTCATGTTAATGTTTAGCAATGCTAGTGATGCTATGCTATCTCATATGCAGTCTAAGCAGGTAATTTGGAGCATTTTCCTCTTTCCTAATGCATTCTAAATAATTGAGTGACCACGAGTTTGTAATCAGATGTGGTAGTTTAATGGTAAGGTTTCAGTAGTTCTTTTGTGTTAATCTTCTAGTTTTCTAATAAATTTTACCACTTTAAATCTGGTTGGTTCATAGAAAGGTAGTAGATAAGTAACTCATTCTTGCTGAAATTTGAGGTGTTATATCCAAACACTGTTAGGGTAGCAAGGGTAGCAAAAGAGAAAAAACTGAGGCAGGAAAAAAATTCATTAAAAATACTTGAAAACTGGCTTTGTGATGGACCGTTTTTGATTTTGCTCTTTTGGAAAAAGGAAAATCTTAGGGGAAGCTTTCTTACATATGTACTCTCAAAATGGTGAAAATCCCATATTAGAATGAGTCAGATGTAATCATGATTGTGTGTCAAAAGTTCAAAGGGGAAAATGGAGGGTAAAATGAGCTGAATTGGCACTCTTACCCCAACTTTGTACCTGTAAGCTTGATATGTTGTTTCAGAGATTAACTTTACAGACTTCCGTGCCCAGAAGTATGAAAATTCTTAGGGAACTCTTTTCACAGGCTTGATCTTAAGGTATTGAATAAAAGAGAGCAGTTAATCCCCTTTGTAAGGTAATTTGAGAGGAGGGAATTCAAAATGTAAAATCTCACCTGCAGAAAACACTCAGTATTGTAAAGGCCTTTCTGTCTTTAGACACTTACAAAGACTTAATATTTTAATGCGGAAGGTTGAACTCAGTTAAAAAGCCAATAGGTGAAATTAGAGAGAAATAATCCAGTGCTTTATTTCTGGGAATCATCATCCTGCGCTCTGGGGGACCTAATTTCATTCCCTATTGGGCATAAGAATACTCCTCTGTACAGAAAGCCAGCATCTTTGAATATAAGCTTGACTTTTAGCATAATAAGAGTCTTGTTAGGTGCAGTTTTGCCCTTAGTCATTAATACAATGAACAAATGTTGTGGTTACCTGGGAAAGAAAACTCAAGTGCTTTTAAACCTCTTGTGAGATTTGGTTTCGTGCATGAAACATATACAACAGCATCTGTGTAGGGCTCCAAGCTGTAAGGTATATAGTGTAGAAGCTAATACACTTTGGAAAAAGTTGAGAACCCTATAAAATGAGTTTAAGATCCTGAGCACAAAGCTTTTATTTTTACTAAGCAACATACTGGCTTCCCAGCAGCATTTTTATTAAGCATATAATTAGAATTTTATTAGGCTTTTAGGAGCAAGTTGGGTTTTAATGCCTATTGGTTTTGGTTGGCCTTTTGTTTCATACTTAAATCTCTAAAGTCCTTCTAGTGACAGTTGATTTGTACCTTCTATCTTCACTACAATTTGTCATTCTAAAAGTAGTAAAACTATTTGATCTTAGTCTCATATTTGCCGAAAGAAAGAAAACAGACCTTTTTTTAGGTTATATCTAGTATAACAGAGGGGGTTTTCCTACCCTCTGAATCTTTATTAAAATTCCTGGAATGATAAATATTTTTTGTTGTAAAATAAAATATTAATGTCAAATAGCAAATAACTGATATTCCATAAATCAAAAATGACCATCAATCCATTAGTTTCTAATTTACATCTCCCCTAAGAGAAGGGAACTAGTAGATTACCTCCCTTCTTAAAAGGTAAAAGATCCTGAAAGGCTTTCATTTGAACTGTCAGAAATCGTAAAAAGCTTCTGTGTGAGACTGCAAAGACTACAAGTTCCTAAATGTTTTCTTGCATTTCTGTGTAACCTCAGAGTGTTAGGGATCATGTTTTCAGTTTTACTTAAAACGCTTAACTTGCCCACAGCCTGTTAGAGCCTGGATCTGTAAACCTGATCTGATTTGCATGGCTTCTTTATTTTCCTGCTAGTGGGATGACTGAAGATAAATTTACGTGTTTTCTTGTTATTTCATACTATTTTAGTGACATTGGAGAGTCGGTAGTGTTTTATTCAAATCTTCCTTTATTATATCAGACATATAGTATCGTATTTGTAATATAAACAAAATAATTTTGTTTAAAAAAATTTTTTTAATTGCACGTAAGAGTCTTAACTGAGGAAGTAAGTAGAAATTGATTGTAATCAGCTGTTGTCTTCCTATACTGCAGTTATTTTTGAGATATTTTACTGCTTCCTGAAATGCAGGAAAGCATTTAAGATACGTATAAAACATCTTAGATAGCACGATCAGCCACAGTCATGAACAGAAACAACTTTTTGTCCAGTTGTTTGAACTTTATGCTCTTTAAATAATGTTCCCTTTAACAATTAATACAAAATCTATACTTTCTGCCTTTTCAAAGATGAAATACTGTCTCTTTAGGCTATTTAACAGTTTCTTTCCTAAGTCAAGTTGGCATGGCACTTCATACAACTATACTGGTTTGATAGCTAGACATATTTTTCTTCTTTTAAAAAAAAGGTTTTTCCCCCAAAGCATATAATGTAAACCCTTTCACTTTTTTTGTCTTTCAGACAAATCTTCCTATTTTCAAGTTGAAGGAGTCTTCTGTGAGAAGAAGATACAGTGATTTTGAGTGGCTTCGAAGTGAATTAGAAAGAGAAAGCAAGGTGAGAATTGGGGTAGAACAACATTCTTATAATGTTATCTCTAAGCAAAATGTTTTGGTTTTGTTTTTTTTTTTTTGCTTTTTGCTAGGCAGTTGGAGTTAAGTGGCTTGCCCCAGGATCACACAGCTAGTATGTGTTGTGTGTCTCAGACCAGATTTGAACTCGGGTCCTCCTGACTCCAAGGCTGGAGCTTTGTCTACTGTGCCACCTAGCTGCCCCAGCAAAATGTATTTTTAAACTAAAATATTAAAACTATCAGGAAAATAGTCTTGATTTCTGTTTTGTGTTTTTGAGGATGTGTCAGCTCCTTAATAGAAAATGAGGAGCTAAATGATGAATTTGGATTTTTTTTTAATGTTCTTTGGTTTCGTTTTTATTCAGTAATATCTACAAAGATATATGAGATCCATAGTATGCTGGGCCTAATTAGGGGGAGACATGGCTGTCTTTGAATCATCTCATACATATTGATTCCTTTCCCAAAGTGGTATTTCTAGGTGCGTGTGTGTGTGTGTGTGTGTGTGTGTGTGTGTGTGTGTGTGTGTATGTGTGTGTGTATGTATATATGTCATCATAATACCCTATGTAAATGTAAGCTGCTGCTGGCATCATCACTATTGTTGTTCTTGGTTTTCTCCCCCAGAGAAGTGTGGAATAAGTATAATATAATTCTAATAACTTTTAAGATGATCATCTTTTTTTCTTTATTTAATACTATGGCTATATACTTGTTTATAGTCCTTATTCTGTCCATTTAAGTCCTTCAAAGGCTTTGTATTGGAAAAACCTTTCCATATCTAAATGGAAGTAATGATTTTCTCAGATACTTTCATGTACTACTATACCAGTGCTTCATTCAGAGTCCTCAGTTTCTCCTCAGTTTAAAGTTTTCAGTTTAAATATGTATTGCTTAAATTCTAGTCTTCTAGTGGATATGTAATCTCAGATTTGAATATTCCCAGCATTGTTATAGATCATAACCCAAGCATATCCCTCCCACTCCATTAGTTCACTTAAGGGGTACTTACTCCCACCTTCCATGTGTTCCCTTGACATTGTGACAAGCTATTTGGTTTTTATCATTGGGCTTTTAGTTGGTCTTTCTTGATGATGTGCTTCTTTGATGGCACCTTTTACATTGCTTTTCCTAAGCAGTTTCTTGCTTTAATGTTTTTGGCATGTTCGTGCCCACTGTGCTTTTCTATGTTGTCCTTTGGGTGGTCATTAATATCAGTTTAACAAAGACCATACTGTGCTAGGATTTACCCGATTATAAGATAATTTTTGCCAAGTTAAGAATGCAGATGACAGGGGCAGCTAGGTGGTGCAGTGGATAGAGCACTGGCCCTGGAGTCAGGAGGACCTGAGTTCAAATCCAGCCTCAGACACATAACACTAACTTTGTGACTCTGGGCAAGTCACTTAACTCCAATTGCCCTCACAAAAACAAAATAAAAGAATGCAGATGACAACAATATATGACTGTCTTAAATCTTGAATAAATTTTACATTGAACTGTGCCTTGACTATATTAAAATTATTCTGTACCCTAAAATTAGAAGCAACTTTACAAGCCACTGAAGAACCTGTTATTTCTGATGTATACAAAATTAGCAAATGCAGACTTTCTGAGAATAACTTTCAAATTTATATCTTGACTTCTCAGTTAAGCTATGGATTTTCATTTCCAATTGCCTTATAGATATCTACATTCAGGTGTTCTAGCATTTCAAATTCAGCATGTCCAAAACTGAATTAGTTTTCTTCCATACCTTTTCCCCACTCTCTCAAAGGAAAACCTAATTATCTTCCTTGCCTTCTCCATTTATGTTAATGTTTCCACCATCCTTGAAATCATCCAGGCTGAAAAACCTCGGAGTCATCTTTGATTCTCCTCTCTGTCACCATCCCCATCTCAAGCAGTTGCCAGCCAGGTCTTATTGATTCTGCCTTCATAATGTCTTTTGCCTTCATCCTCTCCTTTTCTTTCCCATTTCCTAGTGGGTCCTGGTTCAGAATCTTAACACTTTTCACTTGAACAGTTAAAATAGCTTTCTGACATGTTAGTTGGTGTAGTAGAGAGATCACTAAATTTAGAATTGGGAGGTCTTGTGTTCAAGTGTCAGCTCTGCTATGTAATAAGTTTTGTGACATTGAAGAAATATTTCACATCCTCTCAGCTATAGTTTTCTTATTTATAAAAAAAATGGGTTGTTAGCAAAACTCATAAATTTTAAGATGTTACGTAATTGAGTCTAGTCTCCCTTCTTCTGTGTTTTACATTGTTTGAATGTGCAAACATGAAGAAGTAGCACTTCTCCTTCACAAGGCAAACACCTCTGTGTACAAATGATCCCATTCCATTCTGTCTTCTTCAGCAGATTGCTTTCTCTGTCTGTTTTACTTTCTCACTGCTCTTCAATGGCTCTTTGTCTACTGGCTGCTTCCTTACTGCTTACAAACATGCTTTTGTTGCTGCCATCTCCAGAAACCTGTCACTTGATCCATCTTTCCCAGTTAGATGTAGTCCTATCTATATCTCTCCTCACTTTTGTGTCTAAACTTCTTGAGAAGGCCATCTGCAATAGAAGCCTTCACTTACTTTCCTCTCTCAATTTTTTGCAGTCTAGCTTCCTTATCACTTAATGGAAACTGCTCTCTCCAAAGTCCCTAATGATGCTAAATCTAAAGAATGACCTTTTCCCAGTCTTGATCTTTCTTTAATTTCTTTCTTCTAGCCTTAGATACCAATGATCACCCTCTTTTCCTTGATAACTCTCTTCTCTCTAGGTTTTCATGATGCCTCTTCATCCTTCTTGTCTGACTTCTCCTTCTCTGCCTCCTTTGCTGGATTTTCATTCATGTCATCTTGGTAACCATAGGAGTCCCCCAAGGCTCTGCTCTGTCCTTGGCTTTCTTTTCTTTTCCCTCTGTTCTCTTTCACTTGGTGATCTCATCAGCTCTGATGGTTTCAGTTATCTTGTCTATGCAAGTGATCTTCAGGTCTATCTATCAAGCCCTAATCTCTCTCCTGATCTCCCGGTTCACATCTCCAATTGCCTATTAGACATCTTAAAATGGGATGTTCTTAGACATCTTAAATTCAGTATCTTCACAACCGAATTTATCTTTCCTATGATACTCCTCCACCCCCTTCCCTTGTCAAGGATCCAGGCTGGAAACCTAGGTGTCACCCTCATTCTCTCTCACCCTCCTTCCCCCATCTAATGATCTGTCAAGTTCTGTTGTTTCTGCTGTCATAACATTTCTTGTATATTCGCTTCCTCTGACATTTCTGCTATCTGGTACAGGCCCTTATCACCTCACACCTGGACTATTGTAATAGCCTTCTGGTTGGTGTCCTTGCCACAAGTTTCTTTCCATCTCCAGTCTGCTGTCCCCTCAGCTGTCAAAGTGATTTTCCTCTGAAGTACAGATCTGACCAGGTCAGCAATACCCTGTAGCCCCCTTACTCATCATTTAGTAAACTCCAGTCTTTCCCTGGCCCCTTGCTACCCTTCTTACAACTCACTCCCTTCCAGGTACTCTGAGATCCAAGCACGTTGGCTTCCTTGCTGTTTCTGGTACATGATACTCCATTTCCCAATTCTTGTGTGTTTTCACTGGCTGTCCCTCATGTCTAGAGTACCCTTCCTCATAACCACCTCTTGGCTTCCCTGATCTCCTTCAAATCTCAGCTGAAGCTTCACCTTCTGTAAAAAGCTTTTCCTGGTCCTTCTCAATCTTAGTGCTTTCCCTCTGCATTCATCTCTAATTTATTTTTATATACATGTATATGTATGTACACATACATATATATCTCTATCCCTCTATATGGATATATCTTTTTTTTACATAGTTGTTTGCATGTTGTCCTCCCCGTTGGACAATGAACTCCTTGAGAGAGAGCAGGGATTATCTTTTAGCTTTCTTTCCCTAGTGTCTAGCACAGTGATTGGTATATAATATGTGCCTAATAAACACTAGTTTATTTCACTGACTGACTACGTAATCTTCCTAAAGCTTAACTTTGGCTGGGTTACTCCCCTGTTCTGGTATTCAAGGTCTACCATGACGTGGCGCCAACTTAACTTTCCAGTCTTTTATGTCATTGTCATGATATGTAGCTATGAGAAGACCGCTGCTCTAGAATCAGAAGGTCCAGGTTCAAATACTGTGTCAGATACCACTAGTGTTGTTCCCTCTGGCAAGTTACTGAACCTCCTTGAGCCTTGGTCTCCTCACTTGTGAAATAAGAGGTTTGCACTAAATGGCCTCGGAGGTCCCTTTTAGCTGCAGATCTAAATGTTACCATGCTGTAATCAACCTGCACTATTTTTCATTCCTTAAATATAACCCACAGTTTTTTTCTTAATCTCTGCATGAAAATACGTGCATTCCTTTGCCTGAAATACTCAGTATCACCTTCTGTCTCCCCCCACTTATTATCCCTCATCTCTACTCTACTTTCCATCTCTTTTTATCGAAATCGTGTCTTCTCAAACTCAGTTCACATGTTTAAACCCACCATTTAATGTTCCAAACTTTTGCCCACTGCGAAGCCACTGAACTTGTTATTTGTCCCTCCTTTCATAATATCTGTTGTAGTCCTACATTGTTGTTTGGGTATGTTTCTTTTTTCACCTATAAAATATAATTCCTACAGATTGAGTAGTGTTTGAATCAAAAGTGCGCCCTTGGTGATGCCTTGTACATAATTTTTACTGTTGTTCAGTCATTTTTCAGTTGGGCTAATATACACTCAAATTTTGTGGTTTGGAGGAAGCAATCATAAAACAGTTCCTGCTCTCAAAATACTTGTATTCTGGTTGGGTGGGACTAAGCTGATAATATGAAAGAGTGAGAGCAATTGAATGTTAACAGCTGCATAGGATAGACTCCAGGGTAGTTTGTTCAGCAAATATAGGTTAAACATTTTCTGGTTGAGAAGAAAGATCATCATGATCCCAGATAGTTAAAGAAGGCTTCATTGAGGACCTGACCCTGCAGAATGATAGACATTGCATGCCGTTAAGGTAGAGCAGGGAGGTAAGAATGAGGATGTGCTGTGCTCTGGAACTAGGATGGAGATTGATTTTATTGGAATAGAGGGCTTATTTTACAAAGTAGCAAGAAAATAAGATTGACTAAGGGCCTGGAAAATCAAGCAGATGTTTGAACTTTAATACAGTAAGTAAAAAGAACTGTAGTAGTTTCCTAAAGCAGGAGAGTAGATTTAATGTTAGGTCAGATTAGTTTGATAAGAGTATGAAGAGTGGAATAGAAGAGGGATGGGAGAAAAGTGGGAGATAAATGTGACCATCTAGATGTAAGCGTTTGAGGGCTTGGACTAGGCTGAAGGAAATGGGTATGGAAGGATATGGGCAAATATGAGACACATTTTAAAGGGAAATAAAAACAATATCTATTACTGTTGACTCTTCCTTCATCTTCATATCCAGAACTGACTCAGACATTTATTAAGCACTTATGCTGAGCACTCGGGATCCAAAAAGATAACAGCAAAATCATCTCTGCCCTCAGCTCACATTCCAACAGGGGAGACAACGATTGCATATGTAGGCAAATAGAAAACTCACTGTGTTTTGTAGACTGGCAGAAGATGAGGGGTGATTCCAATGTTAAAAGTAGTTTTAGTTGTATGTCCCACTGCTACCTCAAATTCTAGATGTCTAAAAGTACACTCATCTTCCTTCCTTAGCAAACTGCTCTTTCCAAGTGGAGATAACCAGAAAGAAGTTGGAAAGACACTAGAAGTTAAAGTGTATTTAACCACACCTGTGCTAAGCAGTCCAGCAGACACAAATGTGAACATTTTTTTCTTGCCTTAATTCAAAGCATGGACTTAGATTCTTGGAAGCCCTTTTGTTTACCTTCCACTTATCTCAAGGATCATTCTTGTTTACTTTGGTGTATTTTTCATAGAAAACTCCAGATCCTAGAACCTTTCAGCTAAGAGAAACACTCCACCATGTTACAGATGAGAAAACTGAGGTGACTTGCCTGTGGTCATCCTATAAATTAGTAATACTGTTAAGGGGAAACTTTGGCCTCCCCTTATTATGTTATTTCTAAAATCTCAAATTATAAGTAAAGAAAATGTTTTTGACAAAGGATAATCCAAATTCAATTTCTTAACCTTGTGATATCGTCATCTTGTGTTACCTTTTGCCTTTTATAGCCTTTCCTCTTTTGCCAGGCTTTGTTCCCTCCTCTTATTCTCTGTAGTAGGTGATGAAGCATTCTTTTGCATTTTTCCCCCATTCTTCCAGGCAATTACACTTTTCTTTTGCTAGTCACTAAAATTTTTTAAGCTTAAAAAAAAATCAACCCTGACATGAGTCAGGCATTTGGCAGTAGGTAGTTTGGACAGGAGGTTTTCACATTTGGAATTTCCTTAAACAGTGGTTCTCTAATTGTTCACCTCCAGAAGGTAGTGCTAATAATCTTCACCCAATTGTTTTCCTTAGCAATGATCTTTGTAAACTAGCTAAGATGATGTGATGTTGCAATGAGGGCTCACACTAGCCTGGAATGGAATACTCTACAGATCAGCACTTCTCAGCTTCAGAACAGCATGAATTAAACTTTCTTTCCTTTCTCCTCTTCAGGTTGTAGTCCCACCCCTTCCTGGGAAAGCATTTCTGCGTCAGCTTCCTTTTCGAGGAGATGATGGAATATTTGATGATTCTTTTATAGAGGAAAGGAAGCAAGGGCTTGAACAATTTATAAACAAGTAAGTACTCACTATCCTTTAAGGCAAGTGCAAGTAACCTTTTCTGATATGGTAGTAAACATATACAATTTTTTTTTTACAGCCTACAAGTACCAGTTTTGCATATTGTATAAAATATTGCATTTCCTTCTCGACTTGACAGCCATTTCTAAGCTTGTGTAACTTTTGCATAATTTAAACTTCAAACATGTAGAAGTATCTAACAAGTTGAATGATGTGTACTATGTTAAATATTAACACACTTGAGTGATTGAAATGAGTATCTTTGTGTTGACCTAAGTTTTGTATTTGTTTTGCTTGGTTAATTTATGCAAATTACTACTGAAATTACAGCATTTTAAAAAATGCAGTTTTACTTGTGTGGATCTTTCTGATTTAAGGTATGTTCTATCATGAACAATAAAACTTACAATGCACTTGCAATCATTTTGTTTGATTGCAGATGGAGGTATTATCAGCATGTCTTGTGTAAAGGTGCATGTTTTTCTTTAATTTTCATGGTAAAATGTATTCTTTTGAAACTGTAAGAATACTTAGGATTGTTTTTCTCAATTTGGTCTTTTACTTTAGAAACCCTTAATAGACTGCATACCAAAATTTCTAGCCGTGTATTTCATTGCCATTTGAATTGTAGCTCTTTTAAAAGTGAAGGTAATAGGAAGATTTATGAAAGGGAAAAGGCCTGACTATAATTGTGCATTGGCCTTAATAAAGAGCTTCCTAGACTTATTGTTAGCAGTAAGCATTTCTTCCCTTAAAGAAGAGTCTTGGGAAATATGCTTGTGTTACATATATATTCAGTTGTTAAAGGAGGTTGGAGAGTTTTGATGGATTATCCCTGGTAACTTTAGGATATGCTTGATAAGCAAAAAAAAAAAACACCACAAAACAAAAACCCGAAACCAGAAAAGAAGAGAGTTGCACAGAGCCCAAGAACTGTCTTTGCAGTTTCTTGGCACAGTTATTGTTGCTCTCTTTTGTGAACTTGTTGCCCTTCTGGGAAAGACATTGCAGCCCTGGGAATTTTTTAGTGCCATGTAAGAGATGTTACAGAAGCTGAACAGTCCTGTTTGATCTCATCTCACTTTAAATCTCATCTGCTATGGTAGTGGTAGTGGTAGTGGTAGTCATAATCGTAGTCATAGTAGTTGATGATACTTTAGCAGGTTTTCTCAACTTTAAATGAAGAAAGGGAAAGAGAAATGTGCCTTGATTGATTCCTATATGTGCACTGAAGTTTTTTGTCACTGGAGACTTTCTCTGGATTTAAGGGAAGGTATTGAATGGTGCTGCTTTTTTAATGTGAAGAAATAGATGTCTATGTAAGCCCAAATGTAGTCTCTTTTCCTCGTTTTTTGTGAAATCCTGTGAATTGAGTCTCTTGTTATTCTTATTTCTAGGGTTGCTGGCCACCCATTGGCACAGAATGAACGTTGTCTTCACATGTTTTTACAAGATGAAATAATAGATAAAAGTTATACTCCATCCAAAATCAGACATGCCTGAATGCTGTAAAAAATCTATGTAAAAATAAACAAAACTATTACCATGAATATTAGTGATTCATACGCACCGGTGAAGAGGTTCTCGCTAATTTTAGCATGCTGCACAGAAACAGGCCAATAAGCCTCCAGTATACTAACACTCATTATGATGCTCAGTTTTGCTTTGTTTTGGCAGTTAAAACAAATTCATTTGCTTTAGCAAAAATTCCTCTTTCTACCTTTTAAAAAAATAGCTCGAGTGCTGTTTTAATTCGGTGCACACTACTCGTCTCCCTCTATCTGCTGTGTCCCGACTAAAGTTACTGACTTGGCCTTACTGGAATTTGCAGTTTTCTGTGTCACATCTGCTTCTTGTGTATGATTGACTAAAATGTTTCTCACGCTCTTTTTGATATGCAGTGTCACCTGTTCTAATTTATGTGTAGAAGCACTAGGCAGTTGTTTTCCAGTACCCCACATGTGAGAGAAACACTTGTGTGCAGAAAGTATCTTCCTTCAGGCTTGTAAAACACTTTCTATGGAAGACTAATGAGGGAAATCTTTATATTCTGTATAAAAAACAATCAAATTTATATACTAAAATCATTTGTCTAAAAATTTAAGTTGTTTTGAAATAAAAATGAAAATACATTTCTAATGTGTATTGATTGTTACTTTGCTTCAGGCCTTTCTTCCTTTATGGTTTTATTACTTCATTTGTTGGGAGGGATTGTTTACTAGTTATATATTCTCCTGTAACTTCACTTCTCTTTTAAAAAAAAAGTGATATCAGATACACTGCTGCCTCCGAATGGGGTAACTTTTAAAAACAGCAGTGCTTTAAAGAAGCACTGCCTTTTAAGGTTTATTGAATAATTTATGAAATGCTTATTTGCAAAATACTATGTAACCTCAAGTCATTGTTAAAATAAACCTTTGAGTTAGGCATAGTGCATCTTTTTTTTTTCCATTTTATTCCAGCTAATTTGAGTAACTTATCTGAACTACATTCCATAGTCACAGTATTTTTTCCTGTATCTGATAAGCCATGTTCCGTCCATAGTTACAATATTTGGGCAGCAAAACATAGTAGCAGTCTGCATAAACTGAGGAAAGCTGTGGACAAAAAAATGATACTGTTGAAAACTGTGCCCTGGCCAGTTCACAACAGGCATAAGAAGCTCCTGTTTGTATATCAGCAAAATTTTGGAGAAGAGAGAACTCCAGGATCCCTTTGGTCATTAGGGAGTATTTACGTGAACTAGATGATTAAGTAGATATTCTGTAATAATGAGATACATCAGTATATGAAGTCTATATAAGGAGCAAGTTGGCCCAAAAAGTGCAAGAGGCTTATCCCTCCCTCAAAAAAAGCTGAGTCAAATATAGATAAATATCACTAAAGGATACTAATTTCCTTGTAGAGGGTCTTTGGGGAATCCATTAAACTGGGATGTATCCCTTGCCATATTAGAAACCTCAGCAATGGAATTGCTTTGGAATTTTGTGGCATCTGTCGCTATTACCAGGCACTTGATTGATTGCAAGTGGAATGCTGCTTGGAACAAGCTGTTGAACCCCTTTAACTTAAATAAGTTTTTCACTGTTTTGATTTTAAAAAATGACTAAGGGATATCAGTTGTGGGTTTATAAAACAGTGGGGTATTCTTGAGTAAGTTGCTTTATTAGAGCACTTTGGAAAGAGTGTTGATATGGTTGGACTTGACTCTATAGAGGTGTATCAATGTCATTTCCATTATGACCCTGAAATACTCACACCCCTGAAAATATACCACAAAGTCCTTTAAAGTCAATTTTGGGTTTTCAGAATATAACAAAAATAGCTGGATTTGGCATCAGAGGAACTGGGGTTAAATCCTAGCTCTGCTACATTCTGTACTTCAGCTATAAAATGAGAAGGGTTAGATTAGGTTATTCCTGTGTTCTCTTCCAACTCTAAGTTGCTATTAACTATCTTCCTTGGTTTCTCCTTTTGTGCATCTAAAATCCAAGCAAAAGTAGTATCTACAGAGGAAATGTACATAATGATGAAAGGTTGGCTTAACTTGAAGTATGCTTTTGTCAGCACTATTTCCACACTTGAAAGTAATGGGTTATTAATGGAACCATACCTAAAAGGGGTTGTTCTTAACTGGGGGCGGAATGTGATTTTTGTCATAATCTTTCCTATTTGGCATCATTAAATGGACTGTAAAACCTAGTTTCAGATTAGGTTTCATTTGTGATTTCTCAGATTGGGAGGTGGTCTTTTATCCACAGCCATTACGCCAAAGTCTACAGGATTATGGTGGAGGGTGGACTGCTATCTTCAGTTTTTCCCCTTCTCTCCCTCTTAAGCATTTTTAAGGTGTGTAGAGAAATTGCTTGATGCTGAGCAGCTTCCAAGTGCCAATTCAAGCCCAAATGCATGTGGACTGTCTGGTGTGACACATTGGAGGGTCATGGGATTAATGTGTGACTTAGTTCTAATTTTTTATTTTTCTTCTTAAAAACAGCAGTTGTCCTCAATAACACTTTAGAAAAAACCCTCAGTCCCCCAATTTGATGATGCAATGGAAAGAACAATGAATTTGAAGTCAGAGAACCTGGGATCAGATCCCAACTCTGCCACTGATAATCTATGTGAACTACTACAAATTGCTTAATCTTTTTGGGGGCTCCTATGAGAATCATGAGTGAAAGCCTCAAGTCTTCAACTGATGGTAACATGCATTCTTGTACCAGGTGTGGTACAATGGTCTGAATGATAGGGTTAATGTAAAGAGAAGCATAAAGTGTACCTGTAATAGCTCATAAGTGATACCTGCCAAGCAGAAGAAGGCAACTGATAGGAGAAAAAGGTTCCTAGAAAGACCTTTAAATCATTCACAGAAATATCTGAAATATACCCCTTCCAAAGCATGACCACATGGAATAATTTAGAGGAAATGGTATGGGGTAGTGAAATATAGTATATTTGGCACTGAGGGGGTTCTGCAGTCTATGCCAACCCTTGTACTACTTGAACTTTAAGAAAAAAATACAAACGCTTTTTTTCCCTTAATTTTTTCAGTGAGCAAAAATGGATTTTTCTCTCCTTGCCAACCTCCCCAATTGAGAAGAAAAAAAAGAAAAATCCCTTTTAACAAACATGCAAAGGAAGAGCTGCAAAATATTCATGACCACTTGAAAAAGTGTCCCAAATCACTAGACCAAAACAACCCTGAGGTTTCGCTTCACCCTCTGCAAGTGGACAAAAATGGCGACAGTCGACGTTGAAGGAATTGTGGAAAGATAGGCACATTAATACACTGTTGGTGGAGCTGTGAATGGCACAACCATTTTTGGAAAGCACTTTGGAATTAATGCACATAAAATGACTAAAATGCCCATACCCTTTGGACCAGATACTCCATTATGGGGCTTGTACCCCAAGGAAGATAAGAAAACTGCCCCCATTTACTTCAGATATATTTAGAGCAGCATTCTGTGATGGCCAAGAGTTGAAAGCAAAATAGATGCCCATCAGTTGGGAAATGGCTGAATTGTGGTACATGAAATGTAATGGAATATTACTGTGCAGTAAGAAATGATGTATGTAGTGAATAGAGAAGCATGGAAAGATCTACATGAAATGCAGATTGAAGCATGCAGAGCCAAGAAAACAATCTATACAGTGTTATAGATAATATATACAAAGAGGATGAACAACACACCAAAGAAAAATCAAAAGTGAATGTAACAAAGTTATACAGATCAAACAGTACACAGCCGAGAACAAAAGAAAAGTCAGAAGGAAGTCCAGAAAAGCAGTGTTTGGAAAACGATGTGTAGTGTTTATTACATAGTTTTTCACAAAAGTAAACTGTGAAAGGGAGATTCATAGTTTTATTTTGAATCCTCTCTTTATATCGTGCTGTGTAAGTGAAACTTGTGTTTTTGTATATAAGTTCCAAATAAATAAAATTATTTTTTTTAAAAGATCAAGCAGGACTAAAATGAGATATGAGAAGACACTCTCAGCCTACCCTTGTGGAGGTGTTAGACACTGCACACGTTTTCAGATTTTTTTGAAAGTATTGATCTGGTTGCGCTGACTTCTTTTTCCTCTCTCAAAAAATATTTATCATATGGGATGACTCTCTGGGATAGGGGAGGGTAGGGATACATGGATAACTGCTGACGTAAGAAACGGAAAATATCAATTAAAGCTCACTTAAAAAAAAACAACACATGCATAGTTAAGCAAAGCAAATTCTTGCATTGGCCAAAGCATGTCAAATTCCACATCCTCAGTGTTGTGCACGACTAGTTCACTCGGCTACAGAGCCTACCTAGGACCTAGGATTTCCCAATCACCTGAAGAATCAAGACCAGCTTGATCTTTCACTCTGAGCACTCATTGATGAGGCGGGAGAAAAGATGGCAGCAACTCTGTTTATTTTTAGCAAAGCACTTATATAGTAAAATAACAGGAACTCTTTCTCAAGTTACAATGACATATAACCCATGCTGTGCTCAAGGACAGTGCATGCACAGTCCGTGCACTTACCTACCACCAATCACAAATACACTGTTAATGACTAATGAGTAACTAGGGAAGTTAGAGATACATAGAATGGAGCTCCGAACCAGGTGACCTTTGCTCATAGATCGATAACCCGAGAGGGGCCTCCGCCCATCACTGAGACCTCATGAACAGCCTGTGGCCCTCTACATCCTTACAGATCCCCAACACCTCAGGTCATCACCTCTCAGGACATGGGCAGCATGTTTCATCATTGGCTTTCTGGAATCGTGGTTCCACATTGTGTGGGGCAGAGTTCTTAAGTCTTTTCAAAGTTATTAGTGTTGTTACTGTACAAATTGTTCTGCCCATTTCATGTTGGATCAGTTCAGGTCTTCTCAGGTTTCACCAAAACTCGCTTTCATCATTATGACATAATATTATTCCATCATATTCATATGCCATAATTTGTTCAACCTTTCCCCAATTGATGGAAACCTGCTTGGTTTCTAGTTCTTGACTACTAGAAAGAGAGCTGCTATAAATATTTTTGTATGCATAGGTCCTTTTGCTCTTTAAAATTTTTTTAAAATTTTATTTCTTTTATAATTATTTATCTCCAACCCCCAACTACTTTGGAAGGAAAAACAAAAAGGAGAACAAATTCCCATGTAACAAATATGCACAGTCAGGCAAAACATTCTGTCATTGGCTGTGCTAAAAATAACTAAATAAGCAAATAAATTAATGAATAAATAAATGCATCTCTCATTTTGTACACTGAATCTATCACCTTTCTGTCAGGAGGTAAATGGCTTGTTTAATCATTGGCCCTCTGGAATAATAGATGATCATAATTACAGCTTTCAAAGTTGTTTATCATTATAGTGTCGTTATTGTATAAATTGAGATATAGGCCTAGTAGTTGACCTGGCTTCCTAATCTGCATATCCAGGCAGCAGTAAGGGTTTGGTTCACATGCTGTCATATTTTGCAAGCCGTATTTCAGGACTATGTTAACCTTAAAAAAAAGTGCATAGTACAGACTTACATATGTGCATGAATGTATATATGTATATGTGTGTATATTTATAGATGACTATGTATATGTGTATATACATATATTCATGCTTTATTGTAGCCTTTTTTAC